TAAATATTTCAATGATACGGTGATAAAGGAAGCACTTCAGTCAGGCTGAAGATTCTCAGAGGGATAAAAGGAGGAGGGCAAGAAAAAGTGGTGAAGCTCGCTGCTGTTGACAGTCCAACTCTACCCGCGTGACTGGGCAGCTCTCCTGCCGAGAGCCGTTCTTGCCCTCATTATAGGAATGGTCATTAATGTTTAATACCTGCTGGAAGAGAGAGTGGCTTTGTGGGCCGTGGGCTGGGAGACTGGTGTTGTCTTCTTTCCTGGTATTTATGGAGCTTCAGGGCTTGAGTGACATTTCCATCCCGCAGGTCGAGTTCTCCCCACAGCTGACTCCTCAGAGGCAGCGGAGCAGGTTGCTTCTCCCATCTGCCTCTTCCTCTGACCTCCAGGCTTGGCAAATTAGTTTTCAGACAAATAAAAAATATTTTGATAGTAACTCCTTGTTTATAAAATCCCCCTGGGGAGGGAGTAATCAGCCTTAGAATATCAGGCAGGCCATCAGTTTAACCACAATTTAAGCCCTGCAATCTGGTGAAACATAATTTCCTCTCTCTTTGTTGCTATTTTCTTTTTTTTTTTCCTGCCCTTTGTTCTTTTCAAAATCCTCTTGTCCAAATAATTATATTTTGGAGGATTAATCATCATAAGGTAACCATAACCACTGGAAAAATCATGTTTTTGGTTTTTTCTGACTTATATCAGAAAATGAGTTTGAATTCATAAACCAATAGTGTTATCTTTGCAGCCGTGTAAAAACATGCAGTGTATATATTTGGGTGAATCTACCTTTGTGACTGGTATGTAAATATGTATGTAAAACTGCACAAATATAGAATCAGATCCCTTAACTCATATTAAGAAGGAACAGCTAGCAAATGGCTAAGAATTATTTAAAACCATCCTAAACCAACTTAAGTATCATATTTTTTTTTTATAAAAAGAATCGCAGGAATGTTGACTTACGTCTGACTATAATTAAACAAACCAAACCAATAAACTATTCCCAGTATACTAGTAGGTCTTTTACATTTTGGAGAAAAAAAGAAGATGGTAATGAGTCAAGCAGTGAAATAAACAGCATTACTGAGAAAAGAAATTAAGAATGTACCTCCCATTCTCCATTCATACTTTTCTCTTCAAAGCAATCCTGAAGGCGTGAGCTGCAGATTCTAAAAAAAAACTCCAGAGATGTGTGTGACCAGTAGAGAGCATGGTATGGATGCTAGAGTCACTGAGAAGAGCTGGTAATGGTGCCAACAACTGAAACCAGAAAAGGTGATTCACGGAAGTCGTTGTTCTGTAAGGGGGAGATGCAGAGATCAGACTGGGTACAGTTGGAAATAGTGGTTTCTTGTAGAGATACTAACCTATAAAAACATATTAATTTAAAATGTTGGCTTAATTAATATTCCAACAGCTTGCGATTAAGAAGGGAGGAAAGGGGGCGCCTGGGTGGCTCAGTTGGTTAAGCGACTGCCTTCGGCTCAGGTCATGATCCTGGAGTCCCAGGATCGAGTCCCACATTGGGCTCCCTGCTCAGCGGGGAGTCTGCTTCTCCCTCTGACCCTCCTCCTTCTCATGCTCTCTGTCTCTCATTCTCTCTCTCACAAATAAATAAATAATATCTTTAAAAAAAAAAAAAAAAAGAAGGGAGGAAAGGAAACAAACAAAAACCCCACAAAATCTTACCCGTGTCTTAAATTTACTACTGGGTGCTTGGGAGGAGGGTTGGTGGGGGGGGGAATAAATCATCAAAAACCAGATTCCATTAAAGTAATTACCCAAAGAATTCCTTGAGAAAACAACAGCAACAACAAAAAAGAATTGATATATAGGTATTATATAACAAGTGGGCTATTTTAAAGTGATACATTAGCAACAGAATGCACACAGTTGGAATAAAAAGAGCATTGGTATAGAGCAACCATTTTTGGAGAATGTATCTGGTGGGAAAAGGAATGCAAGGGAAGGGGATACTCATGAGAATCAATTCGAAGGACAAACCCTAAGGATTAAATATGGAAGTCAAGATACAAGGAAGACAAGATTTTTCAGGGCTTTGATGTGTTATTTAGTAGCTCTATGGAAATCACCCTTTCTTCTATCATTTTTTTTGGGAAGCAACATTTCTGCATAGGTCCTAGGATAGCCCGATGGATATATATGACACGTGGCCCCTTCCTTCCAAATGTCTAGGTAGCTTGTATTGTTTTACAAATGAAAGCCACTTTTCTTGGCTAAATGTGCTAGAGAGTGAAAAACTAAATTAGTAAGTTTAGGTAGCAAAAAATAACCCAAGTGAGCTCTCAGATTTAGAAGCTTGCCAAAACTGAGGATAACTCTATTTTTAGGACTTGGCTTTATTTTCATTCTCTGAAAATAAGCAATGAACATGTATGGAGCAACATATGTAAAGGTTATTTATCAAAAGCACTGTGTGTACTAGTAAAAATTGGAAATAATCCAGCCTTCCATTATTAGGGAACTGGTTAAACAGGTTACTGTACATGCATGCCATGAGAACTGACTATGAAAATGTAAGAAAAAAAGGCAAAGCCCTTGAGCTACTGGTAAAGAAAGATCTCCAAGAGGTATCACCGGGTGAAAATAGCAAAATACAGAACAGTCTATACTGTGCTACATTTTATGGAAGAAAGAGAGGACATAACAATACATATCTGCATTTCCTTGGTCTTGCATAAAGAAATTCTGGAAGAATACTCAGTAATTAATAATATGGTGACCAGCTGGTGACAGAGAAAAATGGGGCGGATGAGAGTAGAGGTGCGAACTAAACTTTTTACTATATACCACTTTGTATTGTGTATTAATCATGTAAAAGTATTCCCTATTCAATTTTTTTAAATAAATAAGAAATGAAACAAAATGAAAAATTAAATACAAACTTCAGTGCACAAAGACTGGGCTCCATCCCAGGACGCTAGATCCCAGGACCCTGGGATCATGACCTGAGCCGAAGGCAGACGCTTAACCGAGTGAGCCACCCAGGCGCCTCCTTCAATGATTAATCAGGGAAAAAATTCCAATGTTTGACACCCTTTATTGTAACATGGGAGAGGTCTTTCACAGCATCACTCCATGACCCCTATGCCTCCCCCCAACCCTTCTCTTTAGAAATCTTTGTTTATACATTTGTAAATAGGCATTGTTTTGAAAAGTGTAAATTCTTCACTTATCTTCACTTACCCTTGAAGAAATCATTTGAATCTTGTTACTAAGCATAGTAATCTTACATAGTTCTTATTTGGCATCCACCTGCTTTTATATTAAACTTGCCTACTGAGTGGCTTTCTTCCTTTGTCAGCATTGATCTGGCTAGTGACTTTGAGGACTTTATAACTTAAAATTATTTGGGCTGGCTTCAAGGCTATTTCAGATGACTGTTGAAGGAAAGTGAAGTAGAATTTATGGTATGATGCATAAGTAATTTGTTTGCTTTGGTTGCAAGTAACAGAAAACTGAACTAAAATTACCTTAAGCAAATATATTGATTCACTTAAGACCACCTGGGTGACTTAGTCGGTTAAGCATCTGCCTTCAGCTCAGGTCATGATCTTGGGGTCCTGGGACCCAGCCCTGCATGGGGCTCCCTGCTCAGTGGGGAGCCTGCTTCTCCCTCTCCCTCTGCCCCTCCCTTCCCCTGCTGGTGATCTCTATCTCAAATAAATAAATAAAATCTTAAAAAAAAAAGATTCACTTAAATAAAAACTTCAGCTGTAGGGATGACTACAACTATGAGCTAAGGGTTTGTGACATCATTAGAACTCCCTCTGTCTTTCTCTATGATTTCCCTAACTCTGCTTGCTTCTTATGCCAGTTTTCCCATTAGGCTAACTTCATGAGGCAAAAATGGCTGCAGTTCTTCTGAGGCTCACCTCCACAGCCTACCATTTACACTAAGTTATGTGGCAAACAAAAACAAAAACAAAAACAAAAAAACCTCCCACATTCCAATGGCTCACATCAACAAAAGGTTTTTTCTTTTTTTAAAGATTTATTAATTTACTTGAGAGAGAGAGAGCATGCACAAAGGGAGATGCAGAGGGAAAGAGAATCCTCAAGCAGACTCCCCACTGAGCTGGAAGCCCAACGTGGGGTTTGATCCCAGGAATCCGAGATCATGACCTGAGCCAGAATCAAGAGTCGGATGCCTAACTGACTGAGTCACCCAGACACCCCATAATTATTTTTCATTCACTATACATTTTCATTGTAGGTCAACTGTGGCTCTGTTTCACATAGTCCTTATTCCAGGACCCAGGCTGCTGGAGCAGACCCTGCGTGGGACATTGCCAGTATTATGGTGGTGGGGGGGGGCAAAGAGTGGAAACACGATGTGGGCTCTTAAAGCTCCAACTCCAACTATGTGGCACACACTACTTCTTCTTATATGTCATTAAACAAAGTAAGTTTTATGCCCTAGTCTGAAGTCAATGGGGCTGGGAAATATAACCGTATGTTAATTCACTGAACAGAATTACTTTTGCCCCAGCATTCCAAAGTAAGTCTTGAGACTCATACTGATTAGACAAACTAAGGTTCCACGCTGAGTTGTTGAACTAATCATAGTACCAGAGGAACAAAAATCTGATTGGCTTAGCCTGGGTCACATCACACACCATTGAAACCAGAGTTAAATTTGGCTTCCCTGGACCCAAAAGTATCCCCCAAAGAAAATTGGAGGTCTTTGTGGCGAGACAGGGGAAATGGTTGCAGGGGATGAAACCTGGCATCCAGTATATAGATTATACTTAACAATGTTTACATCACATTTCTTGTAGGTAATTTAATGACTGAGAAAAATTAAAACAAACAAAAAAAATTACAGCATACCATCTCTCCAAATTTGAAGTCATCTTGGCAGGGTGTGTCTCCCCAAGTTGGTGAAAAGAATATGGGTTTGGGGATTAGAAAGACCTGTGTCTTTGTTAGAAAGACCACTATGTGTCTTTTACTGGCTTTGTGATTGTGGATGTAAAAGTCCTCTCCTTAGCCTCATCTGTAAAAGAAATTAGCAATACTTAACACAGACATATACATATGTAATACTTAATACATACAATACAACATAATAATAATACTTAGTAGTATTATATTGAAGGAGACAATATACCCAAAGTGAGAGAAAAACCCAACAGGTGCTCCAGAAAATTGTCTCCTTCCCACCAGTGGCCTGACAGAAGCTGCTAACGAACTGCAAACAGCGGTCAAGGGAGCCTTCTTTTAACAAAGAAAAATTAGTTAAATTTCGTAAGCAGTGCTTCAGCTGCTCCTTCTTAACCTGAACAAAACAAACGAAAAACCACACAGTATTTTGCTGTTGATAATGCCATTCCATCAAAAAGAAGGGACAAAACTCGCATTCTCTTCAAAACTGAGATTGCGGACAAGATAGCAGAGGGAATTTTGAGACCTCTTTATCATTGATAATATATATTTATGAAAAGAAATGGAAACAGATAAACTGTAAACCCACTGTTAACACATTCTTATATAGCTGTCACTACACGATTTCACCTAGAGAAGGTGGTATGTCAATTATATTATGTATAGGATTTGGTTTTAAGTGAAGCCCACTCACCTGCAATTAATATTTTATACATAGTGCTTAAAGATCATTAAATAAAGTGTAGAACTTCAAGGCTTCAAATTGACTCTCCAGTTAATTATACATGGATACCTACTTAAACTTCACCAAGGACAGGCTGTTGTGATTTCATCTTAATTGCTATTTTAAAACTGGCGCATATAGGGCGCCTGGGTGGCTCAGTTGGTTGAGCGTCTGCCTTCAGCTCAGGTCATGATCCCAGGGTCCTGGGATCGAGTTCCGAATCGGGCTCTTGGCTCAGTGGGGAGTCTGCTTCTCCCTCTGACCCTCCTCCCTCTCATGCTCTCTGTCTCTCCCTCTCTCTCTCAAATAAATAAATAAAATCTTTAAAAAAAAAAAAAAACTGGCGCATATAATGTGTATGTATCTGAATCAGTGGTTCTCATATTCTTTGTGGCTGGTGCAGCAATGCAGCTAGCTCCCTAACGTCAGTTCAAGCCATAGTATGAGTGGCCGCAAAGTCCAGGAAAAAATCATAATTACAGATTCATGTACTCTATGATCTGTCCTCCTGATCGTATAAAACTTTGTCTATCCATCCCCCTACCTAACAGTATTCTCAAAGATAAGTCCTATGTCGGACTAGGCACCATAGATTAAAATGCGAATATTAAAGCAAACCAATTGCAATGTCAGTTATATAATGAAGCCACTGTCACCTTGAAAGCTTCTCTTCCCACGTGAACACAAAGCAGAGAAAGCAGCAGCTTTAGTAGCTGTGGCAACCACACCACCAGGCCTGGAGAGCGAATGTTTCCAGCGCAGCTTTCGTGCCCCTCTGGCGCTTTGTAGATTCTGCTAACGTTAAGGCCTCTTAGATTCTCAACTTGGTGAATTCATCCAGCTGGGAAAATTAGAGCTGTGATCAGGAGACAAAAGGAGGCTTGCTTTGTGTCTGACAAAGGTAGGAAAACACCCTCCAGTTGAAGCTCCTAATGACCACCCACAACAGCATCACATATTGCAAATATTTATCACGCACATCCTTTGTTTAAATTCTGAGAAGAATACAAAGCCAGTTTACTTGTGTGAGACAACCACTGCATTAATTGCCCCCAAAGCTTGCACGTTTAAGATGGATGTCAAAAGAAAATCTGCATGTTACATAGTCCCAGAATTGTGTGCCATGCTGAAAAGCATTTATTAGACATTTGTGGAATTTTATAATCCAGTAGTCTAAGCATTAAGATCCAGATACACCTATGTAATTGTTTCCTTCAACAGAACAAAACAGTGCTCGTAAATGAACAAGCTTCACATTTATTTTTATCTTCTATAGCTGTTGAAATTTTTTTAATCTCTTTGTACATATTTCTGGGCAAAGAGTAAAGAGTAGGAGACAAAGCAAAAAGGAAATAGTCTTCTCGACCAAAGGGGACATCCTGACTGATCAAACATTTATAGTTTACTTGTGTCACCACTGCTCAGGAAAGCAAAGCAGACACTTGCCGTGTGTCCCTGCAACTACAGTGAATGGGGAGCCTCACAGTCATCCGTGGATCCTGTGGACTGAGAGGGGCCCAGAGTAACCATCCTCCCTTACTCCCTACTAACAGTCTCCCTCGATCTGGGGGAGCAGCGATGTGAACGTCTCAACGGTTACATTTCCCCTGCAGAAGATGGTGACCTTTCAACGGACAGCACTTCCAGAAAAGCTTTCTCAAATAGGCTGACCAAGTATTCCCCTTCTTTCTTCTTGCCAGAGCTAAGGCAGCACTTTGTATCTTGAAGTTGTGACCAGACCTGAGGAGAGTGAAGAACGGAGAGCCATAAGGACCCACTGTGGCAACTGTGAGCTCCCTACGTCCTGACACCCCACTACATGAGAAACAAATAAAGAGTTGCCATATTCAGGTCTCTTCTAAGTGACCAAGTGTACTTCCTAACAGATCCAGAACAAAATAACCCTAGGAAGATAAAAGTGCTAAATTACGTGTTACAGACTCTCAATGCTCTTAGAATTGAGATGGGAAAGGCTATGGAATGAAGATTTAACTATTAAAGAAGATTTCACAGAGAAGCTATGAGCACTACAGAGCTTGGACTGACCAGAGCACAGAAGTCACGGCAAGCCTTGACGCACAAGAACTTGTTTTTTATTTGATGAGTTACCAACAATCTAAGTCCTTGGAAAGTGACATAAGGAAAAAAATATTTTAGGAAAAATAATTTGTTAGGAAGATGCAGGAAAGAAGCAAGCAGAGAGAAGGGGAGAGCCCTCTGAAGGCAGTGGCAATAGTTCTGGAAGGAGGAGCTGAGATGTAGCCCATGGTGGTGGTGCTGGAGGGCAGTATCGCTCAAGGGCCAGGTACCCACCCAAGGGAAGTGACCTCGTCAGGGTCCAGCATAAATAGTGTGGGAGAAGCCGTGGCTTCAGAGGAATGTGGGCAGGGAGTTCACCTAGAATTATGGGGAGACAGCTAACACAAGAATGAGGGAACTGCACCAAGCTACATTTCCAAAAGTGAGGTGAACCAACTTTAGTTGGGAGTTTTCCCAAACAGAAAGTCAAAGCAGAGACAGAATTGTTCAAGTTCGACTCCCAGAACTCCCGGCAGTGGGATTCCCACTATTGCTAATAAAAGTAAATAATCCACATACAAATAAAGCAAATGGTAATTAGAGATAGAATCTCAAGTGGTCTAGTTATCCGCAACTTGGAGAAAAGACAGGAAGAGTTTGGGAGGGTTTGGTTACGCAGATCAAGAGGTACTGATAGAAATAATTCTAGTGATATATCAAAGGCTTGCCATGAGCCTGCACACTCAAGAGGCTGTCTGGGTCCTAGTAATACACAAGTTCTCCCGTAACGATTGACTAGTCAGTTGAGTAATAAATCACAGAGCTGCACATTCACTCCACCTTTGACGCCTCAACATCACTGCCTGGGACTGGGAAAAGGCAGAAGAGCACTCAGAGTGCCCTCTAGGAAGTGAACTGCTCTTCCCATTTCCTGGGAGGAGAGGCCCATCTAGGGTAAGGAGTGGAGCAAGAAGTCACCCGGTTCTAGGAAACAGTGTTTAGTATAGGGAAGCAAGCAAACAAACAAAAACTAATGTGGAAAAGGGTTAGTAACAATAACAAAAAATTATGTCAAACATTTAGTACTTTTACTGCTAAATGGATACTACATAAATGTTGAGGTAGCTATCTGAGACCTGCTTTTGCCCTACATAATAGACTATTAATTGTCTGCCATGTCCATTATCAACAGAATAGCTAGATATTGATTAAGTGAAGTAGGGAGAGAAAAGATTTCTATAAATATGTACCAGCCATAAAGAGATTGCAGCCTAAAACTTGCAGATTCTTAGTCGGACAAATGACAAAAAGAATTTTAGGAGTCACACCCACGCATACTAGTAGGTGTAGAGAGGATGCTCATCATTGAAGTCAAAAATATTTAAAATAAATTATTATACTAATTCTTTCTTAAATTTTTACAGAAATTCCTGCTCCTTTTGGTATTATTAACATCCCTTTTTCCTCTTTTAAAACTCTTCTCCAAATCACATTTTCTAGTTCAATTTTACTAGAGTGAAAAAGTAACTTTTGGTTTGACAAGTGTTATTTTCTGTGAAGAGCCACAGTACAGATCATCTGCTTACCTAAAACTAATATTTACTATATGACAGGCAGCATATAGACAAGTGGTGTGAACTTGTAACATAATAACTACATAATTTCTTATTCTCAAAATTTTTATTAAATACAAACAAAACATAATAAAATGGAATATTTTGAGCTATGGGCAAAACACAAAGGTGATTCTGAAACTAGGAAACCCACTATTATTTAAAATTGCAGAATCCACTGCAAATATGTAATGATTCTTCAGTCTGGGTCACATCCTTGTAAGAAGACTCAGAGGAAAGCAATCCTTGGCTCTCAATCTTTTCTCACATTTCAGTCACTGAGTGACTGACTAGTGAAACTCCTCTCCCAGATGGCCCATGTGGGCTAGGTCAAACTTCATGTAGTCAAATATTAGTTCCCTTGAGGCAATATGCAAATGAAACAGAGCATATATGCAAGCCAAAGACATAGTGAAGGATTCTAGCAACATTTTTTCTCAACTATGCCAGGCCAACTACCATAAAAATATCCCATTTCTTCAAAATTAGTGGGTTATTAATGGATGAAACATTGGAAATCTAAACAATGACTTTTGAAAATACATATTTGATTTAACTTTCTACTTTCAAATGCACTGTGGTAACACACTCTGAGGCACGCCCACACCCTCCACCACACACACAGCATTAAAGGAATAATTCTAAAGTAATCAAGAAGAAATTTAAAATAAAAATAAACATGGGGAAACAGAAAAAAAAAATAACCAAAGCAACACCAGAATTTTGACTGTGCAGTTTATATTTTTAGTTTTTTAT